AACATACTTGTTTGTGTGTGTGTGTGTGTGTGTGTGTGCGTGTGTGTGTGTGTGTGCAAAGGTAAACTGGTGTGTGTGTTCTCACATTGGGTGATGACTGTGGGGAAAACAGGAAAGCAAACAACCATTCTCAGGGTGTGTTTAAGGAGAGGAGGAATTTGAGTGTGTGTGTTAATCAGCGAGTCTGTGGATGAGGCCTCATGTTTGTGTACCACAACTGATTTCTGGCAAAGTGTCAGTTAAGATTTCTTGGTTTTATTTCTGTTGTTTCACACACTTTTTGTTTTTAAAGTAAATAATCTCCAGACTGATGTTTCTTCTTACATTTAATTATTTTTTGGTTTTGATCGCCAGAGGAAGCATTTGGTTGTTGCAGCTGCACAAAGACAGAAATAAGTACATATAGATATTTATTTATCTGTACTTATAAGTAAATAAATAATAAAAAGAGAAGAAGTGTAAAAGCAGAGGTATTAAATATAATACTGTACATGTAATATAAGAATAAGATAATATAAGATGTTTCTTTATTGATCCCCAGTAGGAGGAATTTAGAAGAAGAAGAAGAAGAAGAAAAATACAATATAATACCACAAAATAAAGTAAAATATATACACTATATACAGTAAAATACAATATAATAAGTCCGTGTGGATGCACATGTGCTAAAAGGGTACTTGACAGTTTAACTGAGTGCTTTCAGCCTCCCTCGCATCCACTTCTCTATAAACAGATAATAATAGTAATAACAATAGAAATACATTACTGGATTGCTGGAGACACAAATCTCTGAGCTTTTGTCCGCAGATTGAGATGCTTCATTGCGTCAAACAAACGTCCCATAACTTTTGTGACCTCTGACGCCACCATGATTCATTCATATTTGTGTTTTTTGAACTGTTGGATGGATTGTCAATAAATTCTGTTCAGATATTAATAACATTAGTTTGGTTTATGACCAAATTCCTGCAGAACTCAAAACATTTAGTGCTATTAACCAAATGTAAGCATGCTACCATCATTTTACTGTCAGTGTGAGCATGTTAGCATGTTCTCTTAGCATTTACCTCAAAGCACCGCTGTGCTTGACCTCATAGAGCTCCTAACATGGCTGCAGACCCTCGTTCATCTATTCCCGACCCCGTCCAGTGGTCATTCCCTGGAAATTAATGAGCAGCTGCTAAAATCAGACAATAGTCATTGTCTCTGTTTCCGTTCATCTGGAAAGAACATCTCAATCTGTGTGTGTGTGTGTCTGCTTTTATT